GTATACCAGCCTATCTATGTATTCTGAACTTTTGTCTGGATAGGTCGACTGTATGTGATTCCTGGCCTCGCATTCTGTCAGCTGACTTTAACGTCAACTTATTTGCTACCCTTTGTGCAGTTTTTATGGGTGATTTGGTCTCAAAAATCACTGAAAATATGCCAACAACTTTAACTCAGAAGCGAATCATCCGTCAGTTGGAGAAAAGAATACTTGTACTGTTTTCACAGGAAAGGTGTAACCTTCCCTCTTGTTGGTGGGGCCCTCTGCCCATCAGCCTTTTCGAAAATCTGCAATTCATTTGCAAATTGCCTATTTCTTCCCAAGACTTGCCTCCGGAAACTAAAATGGCCGTAGAGTGTATCGAGTGTTTACTTGGCGCGTCCACTATTACTGCTCGCTGTAGGCTATTTACTAACCTTTTCAAGAATCTGAAGGCCTCTTACCATTGCGGTCTTAGAGCGCATGCTATAACACTTTTCAAAAATTTCCTTCATGATGCATGGCTTCAAGCCTCCCAAAGCGGTTTGCCCTCACTATATTCAGGTGAAAGACAACTGAATGAAGATGAAATGTGTACACCCTTTGAACGACGTTACCTCCTACCAATGTGCAAGGATATATTCCGCTTCCCTCTCGCTGAGTGCAAGGAATCACTTCTGGACCAATTCAGTTGGCTAATGGCGGCCTTAAATTTTATATTGTACGTGAACATCCGGGCTAAGAACATAGACGCGAGTCTGTGTGACCCAGCAGTTGCCGGTTTGACTACGGATGTCCTACAGGCTGTCAACATGATCGATGAAGAGGACAAAAGTTGCCTGAAATCAAGCTTCATCAACAATATTAACACTGAGTTGCGACAGCTGATTGATCGTTATAGTATGGCAGAAAAGGAGCACCTAGCATCACCGGACCCTAAGACGTTGGCTCCCGGCGCGCCAAGCCTCGAGGAATGTCGCCTTACCCTTTTGAAACTCAACCTTTTTAGTAATACACTCGGTCGATTACAAGAATTCCAGCTTGTATAAACCTGTATATAAGAAAAAGTTGTGCAAATATTAAAAATTATATTTGAACCTCCTTCCTACGCATGCTTTACTATTGCTTCTGTTCCGATTTTTTCCAAATCAACATTTTTTGAAATGTTACAGCTGCTTAACACAAGCGGGCGGCCATAAAACAGTGCATTTTGGTATACTTTTTCAGTCCAGGTAAATTCTCACAACTTCTCGTTTTCTTAGTTGAAAATGTAAAGAAATCGCGGACCGTACAAATAAAGCCCTCCTATTTACTAAAAAAACCTTCCCTTTCTACAACTAGCCGTAGTAGATTGTCGTACTGTGCACCTTAATCCCTATGTCTTCGGACGTCTTAATACGAGGGCCTGAACAACGGTCCTCTTGACCACGGCTGTCATCCAAAATAGTCTGCAATTGTTACCGGCTATTCGAGCATCAATAGTTTTAGAATACTACTAAAATCCCTGATCCCGTCAGCTCCCGCACTAACTGCATGTGTTTCTAGCACTTCTCCTTTACAAATTCCGATAGCCATTGATCGTCTTTAAAATCTAGATTCCTTAATTTATTCTTACTATCTACTTTTAGACTGATAACTTATTATGCTCCGGACACCATTTACGATCTCAACGTAAGTTGTATCGCATATTAAAAAAATTCTTATTCCACTATTCCCGCACAGTTTTTCAACTTCATAGTTAGATACATAGGGTGCTGGACAAAATAGAATAGAACATGATCGTAAATTTAACTAGTGCCCCCACGGACTGCTAATAAGAAGTGTTTATTGCTGTAGAAATTTCTGTCAAAATCCAGCGAATCACACATTTTTGGTTTGTAACTACGTGGTACTGTATCTGTTGCCGTCAAGGCGGTCAGAAGCCTGTAGAACTTCTAAGAATAGTGTACAGATTTGTAAGCCTTTCGAAACAGTTGATCCATTCAACCTACTGCCCATTTGATTTTGATCTCATCTCAATAAACCAGACCCAGGAGCGAACCTCTTCATAATTAACCTGGTCAAAATAATAAAAATGGCGCAATATTCAGGCAGAGCAGACTATAGGAAAAACTGAAAATGAAAGCCAAATCCCTAACAAAATGTGAATAACACTTTGAAAAACCTTACTGAAGTGTTTTATGAATACAAACAAGTGTATGCCTCAACTGAAAAGTGCAACGATATTCCCATTGAAAAAACAACTATTTGTGTCTGCATAAGCAAAGGGAAATTACACAAGCTTTGGGCACTACCACAGCGTTAGTGTAGTCGCTACTGCTTCGAAGGGCTTTGCCTTTGTCATAGCCCTGTCGGTTAAAAATGCACGTTATACAAACACGAGTCCCAACCAAGCCTTGACCTCGGCCAGACATAAGTAAACGGTCCAAATATCAGCACCGCGATGCACTCTGGAATTCTACCGTGACCGTCACCTACCAGCAGCCATCTACTTTGTTGGTTTTGCTTCAGCTTTTGATTCCGTGTGACGAAGAATCGAGTCTATCGCGGTGATCAAGACCTATCATAGCTCTACCTTTGTGCATGTCCTTTTTAACAGCTGCTAATTATTTTTTTTCTGGCGCCCGTCCGCATTTTGCCCTTCGTATGTTCTATTCGCGCACCTCAGAAACTATATTCCTAAAATATTTGTGGACAGCTTCGTAGGTGCTGAAGCTGTGTCAGGATACCAGATGATCAGTATACGTTACGCCTTTGGGATCACTCTTCTAGTAGTAATTTGTGATGATCGACCAATTTTATTGTCTTCGGAGAATTAGGCTGTCAAGCCTGACAGTTTGTCACAAAAACCAAAATCTTATTGAGTTGCATTTGAGACTATGGGAAGGGGGCGACGCTTGTAAGAGGGCCTACAGTTCAGAGCATGTAAGATCTACATCGACAACGGACTGACAGAATAAGGGTGACATCCTCACGGAATTCGATGCCGTCAAGGCTTTCACAAACACTTATTTGTACTTGTACTTGGTACGGCTTCAGTCAGGCCTGATGTAGCCGGTCCCGATGGTATTACGTATTACACCTCTCAACGCGTGACGATTTAAGGCGGCTCAACCCATTCTCTTCACCAGCGACGGAGACCAAATATCGAAGGTCCAAGAACTGCTTACATGTCTTGAACTGTTTCGAGTCAGATCTTGAGTTGATCTTCTCTTCGACGCCTCAAGGTGGGCAACAGCGGCGAATCGAGGACAGCATAACTAAATCCGTTAGCTGGACGGTGGAGGATGTGCTCAAACCACCTTAGTCGTCTTTTTGGGATTGTCCGAGGTACTCTCGCGATGCTGTCGCAGCATGTGCGCACTGCCTCGTTAGAGAAGAAGTCCGTGTACTTCGCTTGAAGGGTGGTCGTCATGTAACGATGGTCACATACCTCCATTCTTTGCTTATCTTTCACACGCAAAGCCCAGTATTCATAACCGTAGAGGACTGACCGGACGGATGCACGGTACACATGCCTCTTTGTGGCGATGGGGATGTCGCGTCGGATACTTAGTCTCTTTGGAAGGATTGAGAAAACTCGGTGAGTAGCATCGATTCGAGAGACAATGTTGTCCTTGCTCCTGTCCCTTGCGCAGCAGCCTCCCCGAGGCATTTTAAGTTGTCTACTTCTTCAAGTTGACAGCCATTAGTCCCCAAGGGTGCCTTCTCCTGGTCAGCGGGTGTAACTCAAAAACAATTTGGCCGTCCCAGCTTTTATTACTCAGCCGACCGAATTAACAATCTCATTCATCTGACACCACAGACTGTAGATCACCAAAGCCTGACACTAGCAAGGCGATATCATCAGCGTAGTCTAGGTCGGTCAGCCAGCCAGCGTCCAGGTGCAAACTCCATATTGTCAATACCGTAAAGGGCCCCTCCGAGAATTCGGACAATGGCGTAGTTTAGCAGAATAGGCAACAAAATGCATCCTTGTGGAATACCAGACCGGATGTCGAACGGTTGGCTGAGATTGTTTCGAACCAGAACTTGCGCAGTGGCGCAGCGACAGTTGGCCTTAATCATGGCTATTATTTTGCTCGGCATACCATCTATTTGCCATTATTTACCACAGGGGTTCACGATGGACAGAATCAAACGCAACAGCAGACAGCCGTCGGTTGCTGGTAGCCATGGCGGAATTTTAAATTACGCCGCATGCATCCACACCCAGCCACTTAAAGACTGGAATCGTCCGACTTTGCTGTCGCCTTCCAGAGTTGGCAGAAGGAAGCATCTTTGCGGGACCGTGTTTGAGCCGTCTGAGCAGACAACTGCAAGTCTGTTCTACTGATCCAGTCACAGCGGCGCCGATGAGTGAATCAAAGCGTTTTATCAGCTGCCGCATAGACGACTGTCTCCAGTGATAATCGTTCGTCACTGATTTCATAGTCAGCTCGAGTCCTTAGACAGGACCTGATTTCTGTGTTCAGTGTCTCTGCGTGTCTGGATTACCAAAGTTTTGCGATACCAAGGCGTCTTGCACGTGAAATTTTTGGTGCGAATAAGAGACGGAGTTTTGGGCGTGTACGAACGAAAACATGGTCACACCCCGTTGGTGTTACCAATTTCGGCACCACACATCAATCTGCCAGATTGATGAGCCCTTAAAATTCATGCATTCGGTCAGTTCTTGTGCGCCGTTTGGAGTGCTGCGCTGCGTAAGGGCGAAAACCGGAGGTTTTATATACTCATAGCCTAGGCATTGTTTTTTTTTAAATTGAAGTATTCGTCTCGAATGAGAATATGCACATTCACAGCCCCAGTATCGTGCCCGCCGCCTAAGCTAAGCGCTCTGCCTTTGATCTGATGCCGCTGCGTCAGCGGATGTGTTGATGTCTAACTTCGCACCTGCACACAATAGCCAACTTCCTCGGCATGGCAGAAGTTTTTGTTTTCTTGTATCCAAACTATCGATTTGCTCTTTTCCGGTAACGCAACGGTTTAATCAAGACTTGTTGGTTGTCAGTTTCACAGACAAACACATAGGGCTTAAACGCGCTTGTTTGACTAGACTGACAGACTATTTGAAGAGTATGCTGCTCCGTTCGGTTTCCTTAATAGCATCAACGTGCTCAGTCGCCCCCTTCAAGTGGCATCGGTGCATACTAGTAGTTTATATGTGCCATATGGTAGATAGGCGCTCACCGGGCGGTTACGGGACTCACTCATCCTGTCACGAGTTCGAGCCTCGGGTGATTCATCATTTGGGGTTGAATATGACTGACTGACGACGGCGAATAAGCCAGAAATCCTCATTCCCGTCTCCCTGGTCTTTGCCTAGACTGCTAGCCGCTGGCGGGGCCAGAGGAATGAAGTCCAAAGCAGAGGGTAGAAGTGGGTGAACGTTTATCAACGAGTGTCACTCGTCCCTTTGTGCCTTCAGGCTCACTCTCGAGCTCCGCCGCACGGCGGCTAATGATATGGGCAGAATGACATTTCCGACAAAGACAAGGGAGATTGGAATGACCACTTATGGCTCATTAGGCGCCCTGAGTGCCAGCCATATCCAACCCCAACGTTGGACTTCTAAATATCAAGGTCTCATCAAGGTGAGGCATCACTAAGGACTGACTGATGACAGTTTATGAGTCAGAAGTAGCCCTTCCAGTCTGCCTAGTCTTTGTCGATAACGTACGAGGCGAAGATTGGGTCCTGTAATCGATCGGTGAGCGCCTATCTGCCGCTATGTATGCATGTGTATATGCACTACTTACCAAATTAAGAGGAAATTCTCTGTGTATACTACTTTGACGTACACCTCATTCACCAAAACTTAGAGACCTCTCTTTTGCTTTTACAGCCCTTTGCGACGGATTCT